GCCATTCCTCCCGCAGCGGCTACTCGAGGAACTGCACGTTACTTCTATTTTGACTTTAATCGGCCATTTTGGCGCCGAAACAGGTACATCGGAAGAGGTTAAAGGGGTGCCACCCCTGCCTCACCAGCGGGCGCGCTGCGAATTACTACCGAAGTTAAAATGCACCTAGGTCGGGACGCGCTACCTGAAAGCACCGCTGAGGCATGGTTGTCTAAAAACAATATTAATTGTTCCATAAAACCTTGCAAACTAAAGATTATACAAACATCATGCGCCCTTCATTTTGTACTAATCTCCAAAACATTTCATACAAAAAGAGTCTTTTCCGTTTGTTTTTACGCAAAAACATGCTTTTTAAAAGCTCAAGGTGACCACAGTACAGACAAATGATAAAGAGTGGCGCTGTTGTCGTATTTAGCTCGGTCTCGGTGGACGCCAGCGGCCCAGGTTTCGACGGCGAGTTTCCCAACTGAGTGTTTTAGTAACGTTGATACAGGGGAACGCGCGAATGCAGCGTTTGAAGCCAACAATGGGAGACGCCATCTTTCGAAGGTCGTTTGCTAACATGAATGCTGCAACGCTCCAAAGTCGGACGCACCGTTGTGGAGCTAGGTCGACGCTGGGAGCGGAGAGCGATCGCCTGGCGAACCCTTGGCGATTCCGACGAGGCTTGGTGCACGCTCGGGCCTGGGATTGCATTAGAGGCTTGTTCCCACATGCAGCGGAGCGCTACAAGCATAGCGCTGACCTCGCGCTACGCGAGTGTTGCCGGGAGCATTCACCATCTTTGTATCGCACCGTCAAAACTGTTGCTCATGGCAGACGATAAGTAGCCGACGACACGTGAGCAGCGCTACACCAGCGCTTCGCTGCATGTGAGAACTGTGACACGGCCACTCGATCCTTCCTGTTGGTGCGGCCTGCCGATGTTTTTCCGAAAACAAACAAGCGCGCGTGAGAGGAGAACTTCTCCCATTTTCCATGGGGGCGCTGCACATCGGTGAGCGGTAAAGCCCCTTGATAAAAGCGTTTTTTTACAAGTACCGCCAACCATTGTTATGGAAGCGCGCGAGACATGTGCCATGAGCGGGTGCTCCGCCGCCATTCGCTTCCAAGGCCCGCTCATTTCAGTGCTGCGCCGCCATTTGCTTCCAAGGGCCGCTCGAGACATGGGCCTCGTGCTCTCGCGCATTTGACGCTACTTGCAAGACAAACGCAAACACATCGAGGGGCTTTAGTGAGCGGTCTTGTGAGCTGAAAGCTATACTCTTTCACCTTAGGTTGTACCGCAGGAAAGGCTGTAAGCGCGAGCTCCTTGCTCTGGGGCAGATCTCGGCGGCACAAGCTCTCGTGCAGTAAGGACAGCTGTCAACACTATGAGCTCGCGCTTCCAGCCTTCGCTGCGGTATAGAGTATAGAGAAGGCGCCCAACGCGCTCTTCCTCTGCTACCCAGATAAAATATCTGCCTGTCATTGGCTTCGCCGATACCGAGGCGCTGCCGCGGTTGCAGAAGGCAGCAAAACTCGCTTTCCCCCCCACCTATGCACCGCTGTGCTCGGCGAAAATATCGTAGTGTCACTCTGCACTCGCGTGTGTGGTTTGTGTTGGCATTTTGGAAGCTGCCGGAAATGTAAATGCGCGTTCTAGTTCTGAGTGCGAGACGGAAATGAATTGTGCCAACTCCACTCGTGAAACAAGAAATCCTGCAGTTGATGAAGTACAATGAAGTCTCTTCCGAACTTGAAGTCGTACCGCTGACTTACAAGGCTGGCTACTTGGCCTTCGTTTGCGGACAAAAGGTGACCATTTTTATTTGTAGAAATTGTCGTAATTTCAAAGTAACTAGCTGAAACATTCAACCTAGCAAAGCAATAAGAATTTCTCAGTGAAAGCAAGGAAGACTAATGTGTAGAACCCGCTAAACTTTGCAGGTGACGTGTCCTGAATGCAAGCGCAACATAAGGGAAATGCATCGCATGACGGAGCATATCAGTCCATGTTTAGCCTCGACCAAGGAGGACTCAGCTATTCCCGACCTGAAGCTGTCTGGCTGTGCAAGCTCGTCTGCACCTTTGTCGAGAGGGCTCTACAGTCAGCAGAGATTCGTAATTGTGGAAGGATTTGCAAGGTCCTCTCGAGCGCTGTGCTTCCACACCTTATGAACTGCCCGCTGATGTGTTGTGTTAACTGCCGAGATCATGTACCACAGCGAAGAGCTCTGCGAGCTCTTTCTCAGAAAACTCCTCAGACCTTTTTTGGCAAACTGGGCTGGTGACCTAAACAGCCCACTAGAGAATATATTGAGGCTTTCGCGAAAGCCTCTTTCCCGAAAGGTATTCTGCTTGTGAACTATATAACTCCCTTGGTCTGTTTTTTTGTGAACAATGAAGTTTATATTTCTGAAGTTATGTACGCGGAATCCGATTTTATATTGTCCTTCCGGACACAGCTCGCGAATGGCACAGCTCGCGCGTGCTCGAGCGTCGGTTAAAACCGGAAATCATACGGCCTAGCTATATCCAACTATAACTCCTATATTACAGTGGTAATAGAAACGGGGCAACAGTTACAGGAACAAGAAAACGACAATTCGCTCATACTGCCAGCAGAATGCAGCTTTAACGCGCAGCCTGCAGCTGAGTGAGCTTTTCGCAGAAAGAATCATGTGCTTTTATTCTACACAGATTTGCCACATCATTCATGCAATCTGGCACTCGTTTCAATTGAGACTTGCGGCTTCACGAAAAAAAAATCTAAATAGCCACACCGGGCCGGGCCGGGCGTACTGCTCCTCTCTCACTATATTTCGTCTTACCTTACATGGACTAACCGCGAACACTGTGCTAGCGCGAGCGGCTAGCCTTTACTACCTTGACTGGAGCACTTGCTGCACGAGCGCTCATGCAGCCGCCGAGGCTTCCTTCGAAGCAACTATCTCGCGCTTTTAGCACGCGCGGCTAACAAGTACATACTAACGTGAAACGAAATATAGACGCTTTCAGCGCGCGCCAAATTCAGCCGCCATAGCCGACCTTCTCTTGTCTTACCGAGATGTCGAGCGACTGAAGCGGGCGTTGACGAGTCTCCACAAAGGCCTATGCTGGGGAGAAGGACACGGTAGAATCTGAAATGGCAGTTACCTGTCCTGCTGTGATAATGATGAAGTGGATCGAACGGAATAAGAGGAAACAAAAACTGAAGGTCGGTTATGGCGGCGCCCATGCACAGCTGCCTGAAAGCGTAGTTCCTCGATATGCTCCCCCGAAAGGAACTCTATCTCTCACCAATAACGAGCGCCACGGCTGGCGCTGCGGGGTAAAGTAGAACTATCGCTCTCACCGGCGGAGTGAGGCATACGGCAGGCCGCTCCCAAGGGGAGTCCTAATCGAGTGGCCGTGACTGTGAGAACCGGCCATAAAGTTTCAATGAGCGAAGCGAGGGGTGACCACGCGCTGCACCGTCTGTTTGGCAGCCTAGCTTGGAGTCAACGTTGCTCGGAGCCGAAGCTAGTGTTGCCCCGTTGGTAGCAGTAAAGCCCCTTTATGTTTCAAAAGTAGCGCAAGGTGCTTAGATGTACGAAGCACGTGCAACGTGCAGCCCTTGGGAAGATCATGGCGACACTGGGCTAGATTTCAGACGCCATGTTCTTCCCAGAAGTGGCGCGCGGCACGTGTCTCGAGCATTTCCAGAACAATGAATGGCGCCACTTTTCCCAGGATAGAGGAGCTTTAGGTAGCAGACGGCGTTCGGAAAATGGCGCGGCTGTAGCTGGCTCCAGACGCTGCGTTCACGTGCGCATATATTGACATTGGGCGACCATAGCAGACGGACTTTATTGTTTAAAAGGACACGGTGTTGTATGGAGATCACGGCGTGCTGGGCTCTTTCCCCGTGCTTTTCAAAGGGCGGAACGTGAACAAAAAAAGTTCGAGATAGGGACTTAACGCAGAGGCGGATTTTCTTTACCGCCTATTATTTTTACGAGCCTTAAGCGCGAAACACATGTACGACGAAACCGTCCGATCCGACGTCCGACCGCGCAATACGACGGTCGGAGGCGAGGGTCCTCAACGCTCTCCGATGCTACGAAAACCTTCTCCCCCCAAGGTCAGTCCGGCAGTCCGCACGTCGGATCGGAAGGTTTCGTCGTACATGTGTTTCGCGCTTTAAACGAAAAAAACATGCTTTCACGAAAAATCCGAGGGCTGGTTTCTATTCCCTGGAACATTGGGCTCAAATATCAAGCTGCCCAACTTTCGTTGCTTATATTTAAAATTCGGGATTCCTTTTTTCTTTTTTTTTTCTTTCTTTTTTATACAGCGACGCTGCGTTTATATCAGAACACTGACTCATAGGTTTTCCGGGTGCTCTACTCGAAATAGGCGGGCGAACGTGCGGTGTTCACCGGTTAACTTCGCACTCCGCTTCGCCTTACGTTGGTGGATTGCAGCGGACGCTATGCGGAGAGCAAGTCGCCTGCTTCTTGCGCAGGAGTTGCGGTGACGTCAGAACGACGACGAGTTCTGATTGGCTTTGGTTGGAAGGATAGTGGGTAGACCTCAATGCTAGATGACTAAAGTTCTACCCACTATTTTTTTTTTCAGTCAGCCAATAAGAGGTTGTCGTCCTGACATCATCTCAACTCCTATGCAAGGAAGCAGACGAACTTGCGCTCCGCATACGAGCCATCCCGGCCAACCTGGCACTGTGAACGTATTACGTGACTACGCGCCCCGCTCGCCTCTGTGCCCATCTGGAAGGTCACGGTACTCTCACGCAGCTTTGAAATGGCTTCATTAGGTCTTAGCATCCTCTGCGCTCTGTGGTAAGCTGAAAACGAAGTGGAGAGTCGCGCCCCGGTTTACACCAACGCGACGCTGACAAAACAAGCCAGCGTTGGCCCACACCGAGTGCGGTCACTGCGCGTGCGCAGAAACCAGGTTCGCGTATGACGTCATGCACAGGCCTTGTCTTCTGGGTGGTATTGATTGTTCCATACCTGCCAGACGACGGAGCCCAGGGTGAGCATGAACATCGTGTCCAGGTAGGACGGCAGCTGCCACAGCTCCAGCCGCCCCGTCCAGTCTTGGAAGGGAATACTGCTCAGATCGCCCTTGTGCTCGTTGCTCAGGAGGAAGGGCACGCACAGCCACTGCGGGGTGAGGGGTGGACATTGGGCGAGAGGCACCACGCGACGGCGGAAAGCGACGGACGCGGACGCCGGAGGACGCCATGGGGAGTGCTGGAGGACTCGAGAATGGGGGAACGCATACTCAAAAGTACGAAGGGGGTGAGGGACAGGCCGATAAAGGAAATATTCAAAGATGGGGCGAATGTAGTGAGGGGCACGAGAATGGAGGTCATATGCAAGGGAGATGCGAAGATGGTGATAGAGACGATGACGGAGGGTGCGAAGACAAGAGGTCCAATGACACGAGGACGGAGAACAAAACACAATCAAAGGAGGAGTCGCGAAAATGGCGAGGGACACGTTGACGGAGGACACCAAAACATCGGGACGATCGAACACGAGTATGGAGAATACGCTTAAAAGAGATGCGAAAATGGTGAGGGGCACCTAACACTTGACTATAGGTATTTGGAAACACAATGCTGGAGAACACAAAGACAGTGGACGACGATGGAGAAGGGAATGGACGAATCCGCAAAGGACTTGCGAAGATGTTTGACGTCAATGTAGGATCTTTTTTATTTTTATTTTTTTGCCCCGAATAGGGGGAGAATAACACAACGCACCGGTTCGTATTAGCAATATTTAATAAACACGGAAGCGCCAAGGACAAGGACAATTGGAGTCAGAGAGGGACAGTCGTTTTATTAAAAGAAACAAGACATTCGGGGTGGGTTAGTCTAGCCAATAAGCTGGCATATGTTCGCTCCGAGAAGAGGAAAGAAAATTAAAAGAATACAAAAAGCGTAGAGAGTGAATAATAAAGAATAATTGAGAGGCACATAGTTATTCATTACAAAAATACTTCGTTATGTTCGTCGCTTTCAGAAGTTACATGTTACATTTACATTTTACGCTTTGCATTTACATTTTCGTTAGACAAGAAATACAAATATAATACACGTATCCCTGACTTACCTTCTTTTGCCCTCATTTACGTGTATACAATATCGTTTCTGAATTGCCTTCATCTTTTCATTTTACATGCAAATTTTGAATGTTTCCCGTTATATATGTTAATCAGTATATTCATGAAAATCAATAATTAATATAATTTACAAATTTTAAAGCGAACAACACTCTCAAAGAGTAATATTGTAGATAATTATTCATTTATTTGGTTACTTTGAAATTTATAATTCTCCTAATATCTTTCTTCTCTTACGCAACCATATTATAACATGTGAGGTGCGAGTTAGTGCTGGTCCTGTCTACGCCTTTACCTTTTCCTTGTCCTTGGAGTTTCAGTGTTTATTAGGTATGTAACCAACTTGTCCAGCAGGCCATTTCGGTTATTTATTGACTCTAATTGGCCACGCGCCATGACCCCAAAAAGCCCCCGTGTATCCGCTGCTGCGGCCTTTTATCAATGGCGGAGCGCCGCTCACGTAAGCGCCGCTTATACTGAGATAGTTCGGCCAATAAGCGGAGCTTGTGTCCCGCTAGAACCAGCGGATTTCGCGATAGCACAAAATAGCGGTACTTCTTTGTTCTGTTTATTTCTGAGAAATCGCATAGAGTTCTTATGCGTCAGAGTCACAAAAAGGCGGACGGAAAAGTTATTCCCGGTTGTTTGACTACGCTGCAGTGGTTGCCAGGTTGTCTAAATCTCCTTAAAAAGGCCAAACCATTTAAGTATAAACGGCTTTGCCGAGACCAATTGCACTGTGCCCTTCGCAGTGGAAATGACCACGGACGATTTAGCATGCGGACAACCCGATCCAAGGCTTTGGATCCCTAAGTTGCCCGCAACTGATACGAGGGCAGACGAACGAAGGATTAGAGGATGGAGGATACACAAAAAAGGGGTGCGAGAAGATGAGGGATATGACAACGAAGGTCACGAAAACAAAGGAGAACGATGGTCATGAGGATGGAGACACGGTCAAAGGACATGCAAAGGTGCTGAGAGACGCGAAGAAAGGTGGACGAAGGACCCGATGATGGAAGGAACATTTAAAGGACATGCAGATCTTGAGAGACACGAAGACAAGTGTACGAAGGACACGAGGATGAAGGATACACTCAAAGGAGATGTAAAAATGGTGATGGACACGTCGACGGAGGATACCGAAAAAAAAAAGAGGACGATGGACACAAAATTGATGATTACACTCAAAGGAGATGCGAAGACGGGGATGGACACGATGCTGAATGACACCAAGACAGAAGCGGACGATGAACATTAAAAGGGTGAATACACTCGAAGAACTTGCAAAGATAGTGAGGAACGCAATGACGGAGGACGCAAGGGCAGAAGAGGAGGAAGGACGTGAGGATTGAGGACACACTCAAAGGACATGTACATGTTGAGGGACACAAAGACAGGTGGACGAAGGACACGATGAAGAAGGACACACTCAAATGAGATGCGAGAAGGTGAGGTACACGATGCCGGAAGACACGAGGAAAAAGGAAGACAATGGAAACAAGAATTGAGGACACACTGAAACAAGATGCAAAAATGGAGAGAGAGACACTGCTGGACACAGTCAAAAGAGATGCGAAAATGACGAGGGACATGATGGAAAAGGACACGAAGATAAAGGAGGACGAGGGACACAATGATACAAGGCCAGGTGGGGAAAGAACAAGTAAAGAGGACACGATGATACAGCGACGTAAAACGTTACGATGTAGGGTATGAAGCAAAAAGGTTTTGACTATTAGTCGGGGCTGTGACGTCAGCCACCTAGGTTCAATAAGAGTCAACCACCTCTCCGTCTCGTCCCTCTCGTCTGTAGACGCGGATACATGAATGCGACCTCACCACATCGAATCAAGATATGACGATTGTGATTGAATAAAAAGGAAAAAGCAAAGGGACTGGGCATTTGTGATTCGATGAGCTTGTGTCGCATTCGTGTAAACGCAGCTCATAAGACGAAACACAAAAATATCGAACGGAACTATGGATGATACGACTATAGGCACTATAATGACAATGAATATAGAGAGCAGGAACAATGCGATGTAAATAATTAGAATGAAGGACACGATAACACCGGAACGGAATACCTCTTTTTTTTTTTGGGGGGGGGGGGGGGGGGGGTCTTAAAGGCATAAACGAAGATGATTTGTATGATAACTGAGGACTCGATGAAGCATACAATATAATCCGAGGGACCACAGACCCAACAACAAACACGAAATCATTCACACGTGACTCGGGGCACATCTAACTTCCAGAGCTGCCATTAAAATCAGGCTTCTCAGCCACAAATCCAGAGGCGCGACATGCGCAGGGTTTCGGTACAGTGGCTGTAGTTTCGGTTTCGTCTTTCTTTACGCTCAGGATGACTTTAAAGTGAGCGACGCGACTGTGGCTCGAGGATACATGGAAAGAGAAGAAAAAAGAAGCAGGGAGGCGCGAGGGCCGGGAAGAACGTCGGTCGGGCCACCTTTCAATCTGTACTGTAAATAGACGTTTCTTTTTACTTCTCTCTCACTGATGGAATCCTTTCAGTCATTTTTTTAGACCATCAACATCCCCACACCATCGGCGTTCCCAGTCATCGGGTCCCTGACGCAATCCTAAGAAGAAAACGAACCTTCAGTCTTTCCTGTGCCTTTTTTTTATGATCCACAAAGAAGGTGATGCCTAAAGGAATAATAATCGAGTTGACGCTAAAAGACACGAGGGCTTCGGTGAGAGAGAGAAGGGGAATGTAGAACTTCATAAATTACATCTAGAGGAGTGAAATGAACACACAAGGATGGAGGGGTGAATAAAGCAGGAGGGAGGAGGATAAGATGAAGGTGTGAACAATGGTTGGGTTCAGATTGAAGACGCAGGCATCTGAGGGTTGATTTTCGGACTGGATGGGGGAGGGGCACAACTACGACCACTTGAAACGACAGAGGGGAAGATGACACAAGCATGGAAGGCGCCAGGGGCAAGGTAGCGCAGGAGACAATCACGAAAGACACGCACCATACCGACCAGGATGCAAGTAAGTTGCACGATGTCTGTGTACCGCACTGAGTAGAGGCCCCCCAGCGCTGTGTACAGGACAGCTACCGTAGCCGAGAGTGACATTGCCGTGATCGGATCCAGTCCCGTCACCACGTTCACGGTGGCCCCTGCCGTTGGAAGGATTAAAATACTCTAGTTTAAAATAGTTTCTGCAAAGAAAGTGGAGGCGTTTTAGCGAATTTTTCGTGCCTTAGAATAATTGGTAGGACGTCATCTTTGAATCATGGCATTCAAGTAATTCTGAAAGAGGGAAGAAGATGAGCGAAGATCCAGCTCTTTTGCGGGTGTCCCCTGATAAGTTGCTGGCTGGGCGAGTTGCTAGCTCATGTTGTTACGTTATTCGCTGTTACGTTCTCGTTGTTACGTTATTCGTTGTTACGTTCATGCGCTGTTACGTTATTCAGGTGTCCCCATTCAAGAGGGCCGAGAAAGCACTTTCCAAATTGATGACCCGCCGTTTTAAACATTGTCCTAGCTCAGAAGAGCTTCTGTTGTGGCCCCAGCAAACGAAAGCTGAATGCGCAATTCACCCTTCAAGCGCACGCTGCCTCGGCCGACACCTCCTAAGGAAGAAGGTTGAATAGTGCTAGATTTTCTATATCGCTTACAAAAAGTCAGCACGGATTAGACACTATAAAGTCGCTGACAGCTTAGTATAGAGGATGTTCCTTCTTACTGAGTGAAGAGGACGCAACACTAGTGTTCAATGTGTGCCCCACGCTGGCCTCCCTGCTGTGGCGCAGGCTAGCTGGTAAACGTTCATACTAAAAATATAAATGAAAGAAACCGAGACAGGTGTAAAGTAAAAGATAAATACAACGAAGACTTCGTTGTGTTTGTCCCTTCCGTTTTCTCTGTCTCGGTTTTTTAAGTATGAACGATCTGCGTTACTTTATGTTTGTCGGCACAAGTTCGCCACGTTAAACGTTCAATTTCAGTTTTATTAACCAAGTTTGTTTCTATCCTTGACATTTTTGTGGAGGTGAGGGGTAACGCTATTCATGCCTACAACGCGTATTACCTCTGAACATTATAACCCCGAGGGCGACGACTTTGAACGACGACATCGACTACGATCCCGACTACAACTTCAATGGCAACCCTGACAACGACTTCGACGGCGACTCAATGATGATGACTTCAACGACAACCCCGACTACAACCTTGACGATGACCTTCGTGACGATACTGACGACGAGTGTGATGTCGACCACTAAGACGACAGGACGACGACAAACGGTTCGTCACTCAACGAGCAGAGGAAGTCCGCCAGCTCGGCCGCATTTTGGTTCAAGATGCACAACTTGCTGACGATGGCCGGTACAATCTTTGTCGCTACGACGATAGTTCCAACCCGGCTACCTAGTGTGTATCTGAACACCAATTCATTTTCGCAGCGAGGAACTATTAAAGTGGTGCTTCGCCCTATTGAAAAATTCGGTGAAAGCTTCCAGTGACATCCGGTGAAAACTGGTCAAGTTTCACCCGTTTTCATCCGAAACCAGCGTAGTATAGCAGCCTTTGCTGGAAGATTTGCCGGCAGCTACTCTCGGTTACCAGATTTCGCTGGAATTTCACATGCAGCCACTTTCGTTTACCAGACCGCCCCGGCTTTGCTGAAAATTTTACCGGTTGTCGCTCGTTTCCCCGTTCACCGAAACTCCCTGGAAGCCGACGCGAGGGGAACGAAAAGCCAATCTGAGCCGGGGACTGGGTGCGTAATTATGGTGCCTAGAATGCAGCAAGGACGAGACCCCACGCACCCTCTCTCCCTCACGGTGAGTGCGTAGGGAAAATGAGAGGGACTTTTTACTGTTCGTTTTTTTTGGGGTTTTTTTTTTAGGAAAACCGTTTTTTCTTCGTCAAAGCGCAAACTGGGCTACGAGCGGACGCTCTCAGTGTCGACTTCCCGTTCTATGTGTGCGACCTGTATCTTCAAAAACAGCTAATGTGCGAATGAAACAAAAAGGAAAAAAAAAAATCAGTGCCCTGTTGCTTGTGTTTCTTCGTCCGTCCGAATTCAGAAGCATCCAGCGAGCCAAAAAGACGCCGGGGACGCCGCTGTGACGGCATCAGGGACGACACCGTTACTGTGGTAGGATTTCTCACCGGCGACAGATGTTGGCTGCGCGTTCGTGGTTTTCGCTAAACGTACTACTGACAGTGTGTGCGTGTGTCAGTGTGGTGCACCTGGTAGGTTTTATTACTTGGTCTACCGTACATTTAGGAATTTATCCAGCGGCATTGTGAGTACTTTGAAATATATATATATATTTTTTTTTTTGCGAGAAAGAACTCGGTTGTTCCTATTTGGTCTGATTCATTTTGTCTACAGTTGTGCAAATCGTTTCACTGGTATCGACCCTGTGAAATAGAAACATGGAACTTTCAGGTCTACATGGACTAACCGTTTTAATTGTTACCGAATCGTCCAGCATCTGGTAAACGCACATCCACCTACGGTTCACAGGCTTCTTCCTAAATACTTTCCATTGACGTCCGAAAAAAAAACCCAGTAAGTTCCGATGAATTCCAGCAAATCCGGTGACTTCCGGTACTCTCTGGTGAAGCCAGCCAAATCTGGTGACTTCCGGTAAATTCTGGCTTTACCGAAAGTGAAAAGAGTCCCATGATTCAGTAAAATACATTTTTTAGTGGAAATCAAATTCCGGTAAAACAAATTCGGTGACTTTCGGTAAATTTCGGCTTTACCGGAACTGAAACGAGTCCCATAATCAAGTAAAATAGAGTTTTTACTTGAAATGAAATTTCGGTAAATATTCTTTTTCAATAGGGCGGCCTCAAGGTTATTCGCTACCTGAGGGACCCAAACTGCAAGCCATTGCCCGACGCAACATCAACAATGTCACCGAGCCCTCTGCGACCCGAAGGTGTTTCACGTCGACAGACTCGAACTAAACTATGCTCGATAAGCTATGAAAATCAGAGCTTTAAATGACTCTGTAGTTTTCCCGTTTCTTGTTGTCGATTTCATTTTGTGTTGCATCGCAAAGCGAATTGTGGTATGTATGGTCATACAGCCGGAAGTTAGTTCTGCCTCAGTGGCAGACTGACTTTCACAAGTAACGACAACCAATACAAATGACAAAGCACATTCCGCTGGAAGAAACAGGTGTCTTCAGTTCAGTCTTTTGCTTTGCGCCGCCATTCGCTTCCTAAAGCCTGCACCGTCACGCAGTTGGTACTTTAACAAATGTCACTACTTGTAGGAAGCTCTTATCTAAGAACTTTAGTCTCAGCTGTAGATGAGCAATTTAGCCAGGGGGGTTCAACCGCTAGCCTGGGGTCCACCCCGTAGTAGTTATACACCACCGCGCGCCAGTACGATGCTCATTCAGATTGAAATGGGCAGGGGGTAGAGATTGAGCCCTATATCCCTCAGTTCTGCAGCGCGTTTTTTGTTTTTTTAAGAGGGGAGTAATGCCGCTTGCGAATAGCTGAGTAAGCCCCGTGCTCTACTCCCACGCCGCTGGCTGGTGTTTAATCCCCGCCAGCCTTGTCCTTTTTGTCTTTCTTTTGTTTGCATGACTGGAATGTTCAGATATGACTCGAGAATCTTGTTGTTTGTTCGAGCTTGGAAACTTCTAGATACCCACGTGCTTACAAAAGGAGCTTCGCATGGCCTGCTTGGGTCAGTCGTCCTTCCGTCGCCGTCAAACTTTGTAACTTTATATACGTTCATTTTAAGTTTTTTTTTTCTTTTTTAAATCAAGTTTATTTTTCTATTTGTGACAATAAGTGACGTAGAAGGTGTGGCCCTACGGCCAATTGTTATCGTTGGCCGAGGGAAGGCGCCGCTCACCGAGTGCCTTGAGGATGGAGCCGCAATATAGGAGTCCCCCGCTAAATATGGGCAGGAAGAGCAGCGGCGTGGCTCTGCTGCGGAACGCCACCTGCAGGGGGTCCAGCATGGTCGTGTGCCCGGCACGCCACATGGGGCCCGCGAAAAAGGCACCGCCTGCGCACATGTACGGTGCCGTCAATCGGTCGCCGATGACCAGAGGACGGATGGCACTCACAAATAACCAAGCTGAGAACGAAGGCCACCGGCAGCTGGCACCAGAGGAGGCCCCTGTTGGCGATAACGTCCACGGTCGAGGTCAACAGGCTGCCGTCCACCCAAGTCGCTAAAATGGAAATGTCAAGTGTGTGTATGGGTGTTTGTGAGGGGCGGGGGGGGGGGGGGGGACTGTCGCCGTGTCCTAGTAGACACGGCGACAGCGCTTTGCATTCGAGTCATCGACCGCTGAGCGTACAAGGCATACACATAAAATGTGTGGCTGTACTTCATGTGGCAAGCGTTACGCTCAAAAGCCGTAAAAAGGTGAGCCATTTAGACGCCGGCGTTCGGCACCCGAACGCCTGCAACCCTCCCCCCTCCGTGCGAGGAGCAGACGACGATCTTGATCCCTGGGGGGTAAATGGTACAGTACAGTGGATGCAGGTAAGTTTGAGAAAGGTCAGTCTTAACTGCGGTTTGCGGTGCCCGACGGGCATCCTAAACCGCAGTTACGCTTAAGTATATGGTTAGAAGTTTCTGCCTGAGACGGGAAAAGAAACTTGAAGACAACATCAAATGAACAGAGAAAAGTGGACAGACAGCGTCTCACCTCTACCTATACATGGGCACCCTTAAACGCAGTGAAGTCTAAACCCAGACCCACCTAACTGATGCGGTTAGGGCTCTCCGGCTTCTCCAGAAGTATCCGCCGCCGCATAGTTTTGTCCCGAGCAGTATGTGCCATACTCCGTTCACCCTTAAGCTGAGACTGGAAGTCTGCCTTCAGCGTGAGCTCGCTGGCTTCCGCAGTGCTTTGCGCGTGCCTGCGCCTTCACACCTGAGCTGGCAAGGGCCAAACGCTCGCGACGAAGGCGGAACTTCTAGTCTCAGCCTCAAGGGATGCTGAACCAAACATTTCAGTGTCCATAATAACTGGCGCACGACCTTTCCACGAGTCAGCAGCCGCCGGTGTGCGCGAGCAAACGCAACGAAATCGACGTCACCATATCCCCCCCCTCACGCTTAAGCGTGAATTCTTTACTCTTTATTCAAAGATTACCACGCACTGCCCGAGGGCGTTACAACAGGTGGGTTACAATGCTGAAAAAAAAAAAATAAATCTTCATTTTCACTGCACACTTGCAGCTCCGACAGCCCATGCATCCCAATCTCCGTATCGTTTAAAAAAAAAAAAAAAAAAAAGAGTTGGCGTACATGCTTGTCCTGGCGTGGTACTCTCTAATTTGGAAAGCATGATCGTTCCGTTTAGAAATATGATATGGTTCTTTTAAATAAGTTTTGCTGTTAATTCCAGTTTTATTTTTAAATATCCAAACCAGAAACAAATTTTTACGGCGGGCTGAGAGAGGTTCCCAATTCAGTTCAGTCTTCATTTGAGTACAGCTGTACGTCTCTCCGCCCGTACCTTCCCAGAACAAGCCTAGCAGCTCTACTTTGTATTTTTTCAAGTTTGTCTATTAATGTTTTTTGTTCCGGGTCCCAGATGGCACATGCATATTCCAAAATCGGCCTGTTAAATACGCGGTTTCCTTTAAGTTAGGGGGTGAACATTTTAGGCTTCGTTGAATAAAGTTCAGCGCCCTGCAAGCCTTTACAATCACGTCATCCACATGTGAATTCCATGAACAGTCAGTTGGTATCGTGACACCTAAGTATTTATACTTGGAGTCCTTGTTTACTATATCGTTATTTATATAATACTGGGTTTCAATTTTCTTCTTTTTAGTAAAACATAAATGCACACACTTTTGGGGATTTAAAGCCTTTTTCCATGTAGAGCATCACGTAGTATAACGCATTCTAAATCTATTTGCAACTGGGTGGCATCATCCTTGTTACTAATTTTTCTGTGTACTACGCAATCATCGGCAAACACCCGAACACAATATGAAATACCCAAGCAAATATCATTGATATATATTAAGGACAAAAGCGTCCCTAAGACAGAGAGAGCCCTGTGGGATTCCCGATGTAACATTAACGTATGCCGAACTTTTACCATGGATAATGGGGGATATGATGACGTCCATTTCGTTGCACGTGCTCGCTCACACCGACGACTGCTGGCTTGTGGAAAGATCGTAGGCTACTTATTATAAACACTGAACTGTTCGGTTCAGCAGTATAAACACAGAATTAAAGCGCGTGCCGCTCACGCGGCACATTGCTGACCGGTCAGGGTGCAGATCCCGACGAAGAGTCCCGTCTGCCGTCCGGCAAGCATGATGCGCTCGCTGCGCACGTGGCCCGAGCCCCGGCGCATGCCCGTCCACAGGCCCACGGCAACGACGGAGGCGTAGAAGAGCCCCAGCAGGGCCACTCCGAACCAGTACAGCGCCATCGGTCTGCCCTGCACGTGGAGGCCAGTACATTTCATTACCTTTTGCCATCCCACCCGCGACTCAACAAATCTGAATAAAGCTTATTATTATAAAAGGTAGCCCAGGCGCACGACAAGCGTATTGCGAGCAGCCACGCTTCAAAAGCTAGTCTAGACACTGTGGGTGAAAAACTCTTTGGTATAGCGAAACGTTTTTCACTCACAGAAATGCTATCAGCAAAGCGGACAGCATTTCTAGACATTAAGGAGGTGTACGACAATGTGACTCAGAAAAAGCTCTGGGTGCAGCTGAGAGAGTATGATTTAGATGCACATTTCATTAGGCTTTTACAGCAGGTATACACAAAATATAAGGTAGTCATAACGTGGGAAGCAGAAATAACAAAACCGGCAGAAATAAAAAGAGTGCTCAGGCAGGGTTGTCTTCTACCCCTCTACTTTTTATGATATACTGTGGAAGAACAGAAAATAAATTGGAAGAGTGCAATTTAGGTTTTGATTATACCAGGAATGTTCTACGCAGACGACATTGTACTGTTAGCAGATCGACGGGGTATGCTACATGAGCTGATTAAGATCTGTGGAGAGCAAGGAGACTCTATGGGCTTAAAATTCAGTAGCGACAAGTCGGAGATAATGGTTTATAACGATGAGAAGGTGGATCCACTGAAAATTCAGGATGTTTTATTAAAACACATAGAGAAGTGAGAGGTATGGCTGAATGAGGGAAAACAATACTTAGAAGAACAGGAACGAAATATGATAAAGGAAGGAAAAAAGAATGGAGCAATTATGAAGCACAAGGCACTAGAGAAGTACAATAGATATGAAGTTGTTAGGGGAATATGAAAAGGAGTCATGGTGTCGGGCTTGTCTTTTGGCGTTGCGGTATTATGCATGAAGTCTAAGGTTCAGTCAAGCTTAGAGACCCGGCAGAGGAGCGTGGGCAGACTGGAACTGAGGGCGCATGGGCGTGCATCAAATGAAGGAGTGCAGGGAGACAGAGGCTGGGCACCTTTTGAGGTTAGAGAGGCGATCGGTAAGTTGAAAGTTGAACAAAGGCCAGACACAATTGAGATACACGATGAACGAGAAACGTGTATAAGCATCTATGCATGAAACGTCTGAACACTAAATAGACAAACCGAACCTGAAAACTGAAACTCACATACCAACAGTGAAGTGCTGGGGCAGAGCAGACTACCTCAGTGAAAAAGGATGTAAAAGAAGCCGAGAGAAAGATGTCGGAGGAAATAATGCAGCGAAAATCAGCTTCAACTGTGTACAGGGGACGAAAACAGAAAACAAGAAAAGAGCATTGGTGTTATAATTCACGAGGGAGCTCGTTGTTATTCGAGGCTAGAACAGGAGTATTGAGGAGCAGGACATATAGAACGAAGTATGAAGGAATGGATACGCGGTGGTGCTGTATGCCAAGGGGAAGACGAGACAATAGAACATGTTGTGTTGAGGTGCACAGGGCTTGCTCCCCCCTTCCCGGAGGGGGCGACGTATTTGGCCGGACCGCTGTGGTTTGCAGAAGAGAATGGAAGAAAGAATGATAAGTGCATTTCAATAACAAAGAGGAAATTCGAAAACTGGTGAAATTTTTCTAGAGAGAGTTGAATGACGAATAGTGCGCCTCAAACTTAACTCCTGCGCAAAAAAACAGACGACTCGCTGTCCGCGTTGGACACGAGTGATGCTCAGTAAAGCATTGATTGAACAGAAGTCTCAGTTTAACTCTGACGCAGCACTCAATATGTGGCTGCTCCCAATCGGGGTAGGTGACGCAGTGACTGCCGTGCGAGTCGCAGGAAGGAAGAACTTGGAAGTTCCGTTCTGGAGCCCTCCATGGCTTCCAGAGGTTTCTTCTCCAACGTCTCTCTAAAAAGCAAGTTAAGAACGCTGTGTACGCGTGGCTCTAATGTGTAATGCTGAATATTAAAGGAAAAACCGAGCGGTTCTGTATTTGAGGAAAAACACCTAAATCTTCTTCATTTGGCCTCGAGGACCGCGAAAATCGAGATTATATTTTTTTGAATGAGGTGGGCACTGAGGCTGCACAAAATAATTTTCAAAGTAGCGCCGAGGCCCCTCCTTCCGGGACAGTTACGTCGTAAAAAAGGTTTTCGGAATCTCCGCTCTCGCGCATCTTCAGCGCCTGTCAAAGCTATGCACGCACACTCTCGCCATTTTCAAGAAGGTTAGAAAAAGAGTCACGACTGGTGTCAGTGCGGGGGAACTTAACTTGCAAGCTTACGTTAGACCGATCTCACTTAGCATTCTACGCATGCATAACGCCGCCATAACTTAAAAAAAAAAAAAAAATTGGGTTGTGTGCATGTTTATCCAGCCTAGAACTTGGTCTGCCTCAACAGGCGACGAGTCTCGCAGCTGTAGATGAGAAATTTAGCCAGTGCAGTACAACCGGTAGCCTGGGGTCTTTAACGTGCACCGCGCAGTAGTGATACAGGAGCGCACGCCGGTACGATGCTCATCCAGATCGAAACGGGCAGGGGTGGGGATTGAATGCAGGATCCACCATAACTTAAGTTTATAAAAGGCATGTGGCACTGCACGAAACGGCTCGTACCGTCTCGTTCTCTGCACGCGCAGGGCTCCAGCGAGGTTGTCGCAAGTGCAAAAGGACTGAAGTTCCCTCGGTGCATTAGGTGCATTGCGGCTGCGGCGATGTAACGAAACTGGCTGGTAAGATCGGTCTACTGAACGCGCTGCCCACGCGAGCGATACGCACTTCGCGGCTACCGTACTCGCGGCCTAAAGATCATTTTATGACGTAACGACTGGCCTGATGTTTTTGTTTTATCTTTTCTTGCGCTTAGTCACATCTTCGGGGAATACGAACGTAATGTTGAGACTCACAGGATAAAAATACTCTATAACTCACCTCTGATTCGTTTTTTTTTTTGTTTTTGTTTTTCTGAGAACCATTTTTTAACCTCTTTTTTTTTTTTTTTAGTTCGGGGCCAAACAACAAGCGCAATGCGAATTGTTTCAAATATTTCTTTTTTGCATCCTTCTAAGGAACTCTTTTTCAAGCATCGTGTAATAGACCCTTTCCGAAATTCAGTGCCATCTGGTGGCTGAAATGGCGGTTTAACTTTTGCCATACGAATGGCGGCAATGAACCCGTAGCCTGCAGTATTTTATCGGGCACCGTCAATTTTGCATGTCAACGGCAGTCGAGAATAAACTCTTCGCTATACAGGTTTTTCTGGATCATCTCTTCCAGTGTCGATTCCCACAAAGATGCAACCAGTGAGAACGAAGCGCCAGCCCAGACAGACGCCTTGATAAAGTTCTATAAGTCAAGGGGTTTCGAAGTCGATTTTGTGCCACTAACAGGTCCACTGGGCTCGAATTAAAGAAATGAACGCTTACGCAGCGCTTGCATTCAATTCCGGCTTCACTACGTGCCTCGAATCCTCAGCTTAGGAGTATCTTCAACATGTTCCTTCATCAGTAAATAGAAAGCCGCCATTGTTATGGCACATATGCCATTTTTCAGATGATGATGATAGTGATCAAAGTGGCCAGACTGAATTTCGGAAAGGGTACAGCTGCACAGGTTTCGGTTGTTGGTGACTTATAATGTAGGCCTTAGAACACAACAATACAACACAACAACGATCGTAGTGGTGACAAAGGCTGCCAGCAGAGCCGTATATAGATAATGGGAAGTATAGGTGTGGTGCCTGGAGCGCGTCTCCGACTGATGTGTTTAGCGTCCTTTGCTTTCCATACATCAAAAGTTATCTCGAAGAAGACACAAATGACGTCACTTAGCCGAAGTGTCATGCTGCTGCATGTCGCGATCCTGGCGGTTGGTCGCAGAAATACTGACGAAAAGCACGACCGAACGCGAGCGTCGCTGTCGTCACCGAATCCTAACTTCTGACAGCGGGAGCTTCCGTGGACTATCACATTGGAGGGCGACCTGCAGCAGAACAGGCGTCTGCTACATCCACTACCGCTGATGGAACACGACCAGGGTCTCGACTGGCGACAGCATGATACTTTAGGACGTCATCAGACGGAAATTGAGAAACCACTTTTTTCGACGCGGTAAACACACCAGTTAAAGACGCGTTCCAGGCACCACAGTATACGAGGCAAATGAGAAGGCGCCATCGGCTGAAAGCGGGCTGGGCGTGTTCCGGGGCGTCTTCGCAAATTCGAATGCGGCCAACCAGAAGCCGGAAATAATACCCTGGCGGTGGTCACGTGAAACCAAATTAATAAGTGCGTGGGAATAACTCACGGTGACTGAAAATATGTTGCACTTGATGTTTCAAACACGGTCATCCAAAATCAGGACTGAACAGCGCGACTAGCGGAACGATCGACATAATCTATACGCCAGGCGCCGAGGGCCGGGAATCTGCCGTCCAAGCGGTCACGCTCTGTCCGAGCAAAACAGAGTTCGGGCGGCACACTCGTTGCTTACATATTTTTGCATGATCATAAGCGAAAAATCACGCGCACTATATTTTCAAGCATGAAGATTTACTACATTTGACTCGTTACGCTCTTACTAAAACTGTTTCTTGCTACCACCGCTAGGGAATTCTTTTCGGATTCTGGTTGGCGAAGAGAGCATGCCAAGCCCTCCATCTGCGTCTGGTGCACGCCCTGGCCACCCTGGCTCTGCTCGCTCCTCCCATTGGCCAAGCTCCCTCTATACACGGCTCTCGCTGCTAGCTTTAGGTCTAACCTACCAATCATTCGAACCAGAGCTCGGCGTTCTGGCGACCCCGCGCGCTCTCGTCCCTCCTCTCCCTCACTTTCTCAGAGCATGACTTGGAGCTCAAGCTGGCGTTGCCGCGTTGATACCATAGAGATATTACAATGTACGCTATAGGTTCAACTGGCTCTAGCGTGCTGTCGCATGCAAATCGAAGCAAACAGCAAGCAGTCGAAAATTGACTTCCGGTAATGCATTTTTATGGGGAAAAGTAAGTGCCTTTTCTCCCTGC